GGTCCCTCCAGCCCTATCCTCATGGGGGTCTGCATCCCAGGGACCCTTCCCTGAACCCCTCTCCTGCCCCGGGCAGCGCTTAGACCTGGGCTGGGCCTGACAGAGGACAGGGGTCCTGGGGAGGATTCCTGGGATTCTTATGCAGCAGCCTCGGTGGCCCAGGGAGGAGGATGCAGCCGTCAGAGCCAGGGAGGAGAGACCCGGTCTTTTCCCTGCAGGTGCACCCCAGGCAGCCTCAGCCCCAGCCCCAGCTCCGATGCCTCCTCTCTTTCTCTAACAGATCCCACAAAGCAGGGCAGTGGGCTCCACACCTTGGGGACACCAGGGACCATGAAGGCTGGGAGCAGACCCAGAAGTCTCTGAGCTCCTGAAAGGACAAGGGGCCAAGGCTGAGAAAACGTGGAGAGGACAGTTTGTTTATCAAGTTCATGTTCGGTGAAACAAACTGGCCCCTCAGGCTCCCTCGGCTCTCGCCCGGCAAGCGTGATGGACACCGCATGCCCCTGGCGCTCAGGCACTCAACCCTGGAAGCTTGAACAAGGACTTCCAGGGCTCTGACTTCACCCAACGTGTCCAGATCTTATCACTCTTAACCCTCCTCTGTACCTCATATCTTAGGGCCATATTCTCTGATACAGTGAAGTCATACATTGATTACAAAAAGGATAAATACATATTTTCACAAGTAAAAATGCAAAAAGCACATTCCAAATGAACAGATTCTTTAAAAACAGAGATCTTAACCATTTTTTTTAAAAACCTAGAGCAGATGACTGAGAACAATACCGCTTCTCAAAATGGGACGCAGCAAAGGGCGGTGGCTGCTGAGCAGAACTCGTGTCCTACATCCTTATGTGAAAGAAGAATAAAGGCGGATGGTTTGAGGGGAGGTCATTTTTCACTTTTCAATTTTCTTTTTTTTTAAAAACTCTATTCAAGACAGCTTGGATTAACTTTTCATTTTGAAATAGTTTTAGACTTACTAAAAAGTTGCAAAAAAAAGTACGAGAATTTTTCTGTCTGCTTTACACAGATTTTCCAAGTCTGAACACTTTTCATAACTATAGTACAATGATCAAAACCACAGAATCAGCACGGATGCAACGGTATAATCTAATCTGCAGACCTCACCCAAATCCCAGCTGCTGTTTCCCTCACAGTCTTCCCCAGTCCAGCATCCAAGCCAAGCTCACATCTCTCACTTGGTCCTCCAGCCCCTTCCATGTGGTGACAGAGGGAGACTCTGTCTCAAAAAACAACAAGCAAACAAACAAACAACAACAACAAAAACAAAGAAAAAGGAAAGAAAAAAGCACAGCCCCTCAGGAACAGTACCAGAAAGTCCAACAGCTGGGTAAGTGGTGTCCCGGAAGGCCAGGAGAGAGAGCGCAGCGGGGTGCTTTTGCCTCACTCACGGCTTTCACCTGGAACGGGTGGTCAGCGTGCATTTCTTTCGTGACCTGACACTTTTGAAGAGTAAAGGCCAACTGTTTTGTAGAAAGCCCCACTGTCTGGGATTGTTGCTTGTGTGTGCTGTTCTGTGTATTCACACTGATGCCTCTTTCCCACCGCCATAATGTTCTGTATTTCCTTCCTGCTTGCATACTTGATCTCTTTTCTCCCACGGTGACAATGCTGGCTTGTGACAAAATCAGTTTATTTCAGCAGTTTAATGATAATGTATCTGCATCTGTATTTATCCTATTTGGATTCACTGGGCTTTTGAATGTCTAAGATTTAGGCTTACATCCTTTTTCAAAATGGAAACGTTATCAGTCACTAGTTCTTCAGATCTCCCTTCTGTACTCCACTCTGTCCACTCTGCCCTCTCTTTCTGGGACACCAGTTATACAGCTCTTGGATGTTAGGATATTGTTCCTGAGGCGCTGTGGTTTTTTGGTTTTTTTTTTTTTTGTTTTTTTTTTTTGAGACAGAGTCTCTGTCTGTCGCCCAGGCTGGAGTCCAGTGGTGTGATTTTGGTTCACTGCACCCTCTGCCTCTCGAGTTCAAGTGATTCTCCTGCCTCAGCCTCCTGAGTAACTGGGACTACAGTCACCTGCCACCTGGTGTGGCTAATTTTTCTATTTTTATTAGAGATGAGGTTTCACCATGTTGGTCAGGCTGGTCTCAGACTCAGGTGCTGAGATTAGATTCACAGATTTCCTAGGAAAATTTATCAGGGAAGACTGTGGCCAGATCACTTCCCAGCACCCTCCTGGCAGAAAAACAGATGCTTTTGGGCCAGGGTCCTGGAGAATCTCCCTCCCAGCACTGGTCTTGCTGGCTGCTTCACGGCACTGGACCCCAGATTCCTGAGGTTATGGGCACCAGGTGCCCTGCCCGAGGAGCTGCCCTAGCAGGCAGGGTTACATTTCACCCTAAAAATTCACAACCACAAGGGGAGGGGAGCAGGTCCTGCTCTATCTGGAACCCGAGGACCCTCCTCTGGAGAGCCTGCAGCCTGCAGAGGACCGGGGATCCAGGGCCCCCTGGGCCTACCTGAGGGGGCTGCCAGGGCCACCTGGGTCCACAGGGGAAACAATGACAGGCCAGAGGGCAGCTGGGGGTGCAGTGCCCAGGCGCAGGGGTGCAGGCTGGAGGGGCAGTGCCCAGGTATAGGGGTGCAGGCTAAAGGGGCAGTGCCCAGGCGCAGGGGTGCAGGCCGGAGGGGTGCTGTGAGGACCGGTGCTCAGGCAGCAGAGCCAGCATTGTTCTTTATCTGGGGCTTTGCTACCTGGTGAGGCCACCCCCCTCCTGATGCAGAAGGCCTCCTTCTCAGCCACCCCTGCCCCAGGACAGCACCAGGATGTCCCATGGTGCCCAGCTTAGCCTGGCCAGTCCTGAGCTCGGCGCTGGCCCCCTCTGCCCCAGCCTGCACTCCACTGGCGCCTCACCTGGTACCCCTCCCATTCCCACCCTCCCATTGCTGGCATTGTCCATCAGTCCTGACCTCCTGGATCCTACTCTGGCTGCACAGATAGGCACCCCAACCCTGGTCACATGTCACAGACCCCCTTCTCCAGGCCCCTCCCCACCTCCACTCAGGGGCCCCAGCCCTTCTAGGATCCCAGCCCTGAGCCTGGGACATATTGCTTACCCACTGCTGGGCCCTAGGCTGCAGGGACAGCCCTTATCCTCAGCCTCCCAGCCGGGAGGTTTTCTGCAGATCTGGCTTTTCCAGTGGCCACTGGTACCCACCCACAGAGGCCTTTGCTGAGGACTGGGCAGGGCAGGTAGACAGGGAGGAGCAGGAAGGAAGGAAGGGACACCATGTAGGCATGAGAGTTTATTGTCTCCGAGAGGGTGAAGGTCGTGGTATCAATGCATAGGTCGGGGCACCCACAGTATTACCCTTCCTGGGTTTCCCTTGGGCAGAGGGGACTGGAAATGGGAAGGCAGAGTGGGAGCCCCAGCTGTGGCCACACCCAGGCTCTCCTGCCCCTCAAAAAGTCCTGAACAGACAGCATTCAGGGTAAGGAGCCTCATACGAGGAACCATTGCCCACTGGGTGCACCGTCCTTCCCCATCACCCGCACCGGGGGCATCGTCCTTCCCCATCACCCACACCGGGGGCACCGTCCTTCCCCATCACCCGCACCGGGGGCACCGTCCTTCCCCATCACCCACACCGGGGGCACCGTCCTTCCCCATCACCCACACCGGGGGCACCGTCCTTCCCCATCACCCACACCGGGGGCATCGTCCTTCCCCATCACCCACACCGGGGGCACTATCCTTCCCCATCACCCACATTGAGGGCACTGTCCTTCCCCATCACCCACACCGGGGGCACTGTCCTTCCCCATCACCCACACCGGGGGCACTATCCTTCCCCATCACCCACATTGAGGGCACTGTCCTTCCCCATCACCCACACCGGGGCACTGTCCTTCCCCATCACCCACATTGAGGGCACCGTCCTTCCCCATCACCCACACCGGGGGCATCGTCCTTCCCCATCACCCACACCGGGGGCACCGTCCTTCCTCATCACCCACACCGGGGGCACTATCCTTCCCCATCACCCACACCGGGGGCACCGTCCTTCCCCATCACCCACACCGGGGGCACCGTCCTTCCCCATCACCCACACCGGGGGCACCGTCCTTCCCCATCACCCACACCGGGGGCACCGTCCTTCCCCATCACCCACACCGGGGGCACCGTCCTTCCCCATCACCCACACCGGGGCACTGTCCTTCCCCATCACCCACACCGGGGGCATCGTCCTTCCCCATCACCCACACCGGGGGCACCGTCCTTCCCCATCACCCACACCGGGGGCACCGTCCTTCCCCATCACCCACACCGGGGGCATCGTCCTTCCCCATCACCCACACCGGGGCACCGTCCTTCCCCATCACCCACACCGGGGGCACCGTCCTTCCCCATCACCCACACCGGGGGCACCGTCCTTCCCCATCACCCACACCGGGGCACCGTCCTTCCCCATCACCCACACCGGGGGCATCGTCCTTCCCCATCACCCACACCGGGGGCACCGTCCTTCCCCATCACCCACACCGGGGGCACCGTCCTTCCCCATCACCCACACCGGGGGCACCGTCCTTCCCCATCACCCACACCGGGGGCACCGTCCTTCCCCATCACCCACACCGGGGCACCGTCCTTCCCCATCACCCACACCGGGGGCACCGTCCTTCCCCATCACCCACACCGGGGGCACCGTCCTTCCCCATCACCCACACCGGGGCACTGTCCTTCCCCATTACCCACACCGGGGGCACCGTCCTTCCCCATCACCCACACCGGGGGCACCGTTCTTCCCCAGGAGGAGCAATTGCTGAATCCATGGGGTTCCCCAGCAACGGGGCCCCTGCTGGGGAGGAGTGAGGTGGCTAGATCCAGGATGGAGGCGATGGCATCCCTCAGAGAGGGAGGGTCCCTCCCAAGTGTCCTGGAAGGGGTGGAGGCAGGATGGCAGCTGAAGGCAGGAGACAGAATGGGCCAGCAGGGCTGGAGGGGTGCAGAGGGAAGCTTCACAACAGGGCCCAGAGGAGGCCAAGGCCCACTTGGAGCAGGAGCCCCCCGCACAGGACCCAGCGTTGTCCCTCCTGTGGGGTGGGTGCGCTGTTGCAGAGAGCCCTGGAACAGCAGCGCCTGGTGATCACAGCTTGCACCCCAGGAATCGGCGACCATTCAAACTCCATGTTGGTGTTGGGACATCTGGGAGCACAGCGTTTGCTGAGCAGGACCTCCACACCTGATTCTGAAGAAAAGAGGAGAGGCAGGTGGCCCCAGAGCCCCCAGCAAGGAGGTATTCACGGTTATTGGGGAAGAGTAAGGATGATTTCCACAGGGGCAGCTGGGCCCAGAAAGAACCAGAGCAAGAAACCTGAGCCTGTGAGGGAGGCCAAGAGACCACCGTCTCCTGTCCTTTCCCGGGCGAGGTGCTGCAGAGCTGGGGAGCCTGGCTGCCTAGGGCCACCTCCACCCAGCCGCACAGCAAATATGGACTCCAGGGCAACTGGCCATAAGAGGCTTTCCCCTGAACCAGGCACAGCCTGGACACGCAGCCCTGGGGCATCTGCCTCGTGGGGGAGATGGGGTGACTCGGAGCAGTGGAAAGGGGCTGCCTGTCACAGAGAGCCTGCTGGGCTGGGCACCCAGCCCTGGGCTTATTTCTCTGTACTGCTCATTGACAGACATGGCAGAGACTTCTGACGGACACGTATGTCTGTCAACAACCACGGAACCACTGAAGGGACGCACAACACTCAAAACCCAAACTGTCGAGAAAAGAGCGTGGGCAGGATCGCCTTTATGCATCATACTATGTTACGGTACGTTGTGTTGCATTCTATTTTATCATACTATATTGTCTTATATTGCATTATATTGCATCGTATTAAGTTGCAATACACACGTTATATTCATTATGTTGTATTATACTACATGACACTGTCATACACTGTATTAGATTCCAGTGCCGCCTGCGTGGTCCCGGGCTGTTGGCAGGTGTACTGTGTTCCAGCGCGTGCGCAGTGCCGGGTCGCCGGCAGGTGTACTGTGTTCCAGCGCCGCACAGACCCCGAAGGGCCGGCCGGGCGGCACCACTGTCAGATAACCCATCGCCCCAACAGCTGCCGCTCCCCACTCCCGTGTGTTCCCGCTGTCTTTGTAAATTCAGTGACATCAGAGCCTTTGAACCGCTGACAGTTCCTAGTGACTCTTCAAACGGAGGAGAAAAGTTAAGTCAAATGTCACACTCTGGATGCGCGCCCCAGCCCAACGCGGGAGGGACAGCAGGACACCGTGGGACCCACAGGCCCCAAGCCCTGGAGCGCGAGGACGCCGCGCTGAGTTGCGGAGAGGCGGGGGCGCCGTCCCTTCCCGGGGCCTGGCACCTGCCCTCTGCCCGGCGGGTACTCACTCAGCGAGAAGGCCACCTCGTTGGAGACGCAGACCTGGTCCAGCGGGCGGCACCGGGTGGGCGGGCACTCCTGCCCGCTGCTGACCTTGAAGCACTGGTAGCAGCTCAGGTTCCCAGCTGTGGGCGGCACGCGGGGCGCGTGGAACACGGATCTGCAGCCCCGCCCGGCCGCCCCCCAGCCCCGTCCCGGCCGCCCCCCAGCCCCGCCCGGCCCGCCCCTTACCTGGTGTCCCTGGTGTCGGGGCGCAGCCAGCAGACGCAGCAGCCAGCAGGAGGGCCCACAGGGCTGGGAGGAACCCCTCCATGACGCCAGAGGGCATGGCCTGAGGGGGGTGAGGTGGGTGTTGGGGGGCTTCACCCGGGGCAACCCCGCCCCCAGCCTCCCGCTTCGGGACGCTCGCTCTCCTCCCTTGCCGGCATCCCCTCTCCCTGGTCCTCTGTCTTTGGCCCCCCTTCCAATCTCTCTTCGTGGACCCTCTAAGCCCCACTCTCACCCGACCCTCGTCTCAGCCTGGCCCACCGTCCGGACCCCGCTCCCAGCACCTTCTCTCCTACCGGGCTGTGTTGGGGGAGCTGCGCCCTGGAGGAGTCAGCCGGGGCCGAGGGGGCGGGGCAGGCCAGCCCCTCCTGGGGCTCCTGCGCGGGTGGGGTCGGCTCCCGGGTCCCCGAGGGCCCCAGCGTCTGCCCCAGTCGCCTCCTGTCAAACACAGCCCCATAGGGAGGCGGACGCCTGCGGGTCCTTCCAAGGCCAGCCTCAGCCGCGATCACAGACCCTGGGCTCCACGCTGTGGGAACACATGGGGCCAGAACTGGTTCCTGACTAGGAGACCCCGGGAGGCTGAGGGAGACCCAGAGGGTCCTGAGCTCCTCCAAGGGTGCTGAGGGCGGCGACCCTTTCCCTGGGGTGGGGTGGGGGTGCTCTGGAGGTGGAAGCAGACGGAGAGAGGAGGCTTAAAGGCGGAGGAGGAGGAAGAGGAAGGAGGCGAAGGAGGGACCCCGGGAGGTCTGGACAAGCAGAGATGGAAGGGGAGGGAGCTGGAGCCGGCCAGGCAGAGCCAGGAAGGAGCCGGGTTAAGGGCGAGCGCAGCTGGGGCGGACAGTTAGGCCGCAGGCACAGAAGCTTCATGCTTTCTAGAGTGCGTGGAGGCTTTCCCCTGGCAGGAGTGGCCTGCGGGGAGGGGAGAAGGAGAAGGCCCCTCAGGCAGGCTCCGTGGCCCAGAGGACAGCAGGGCTGCCGTGTCCCGAGTCCATTGCTCCCACAGCCCTACCGGAGCCTGGAGCTGGCACAGGGGTTGGGGCTGCAGCCCCAGGACTCAGGCCAAGTTTCTGGGACCTGCAGGGGCTGCATCCTCACAGCAGCTGGGGCCTGAGTACCGGCCTTTGAAGATGTGTGTCCTGGAAACACAGCTCCCGTGCAGGCTGCCTCCCAGCTCTGTCCTCACAGACTCCATCCCCCCACAGGTGAGGCTGGGGTCCTCCCAGGTCTGTCTGGGTGCTCAAGCGTCTCTGAGCCCCACGAAGGCTGTGCTTCCAATTCCTTTTGCAGCATCTGCCCTGCTCCATGTGGGTCCAGGATGCAGAGTGTGGGGAGCCCGGTTACAGCACAGACCCGCGCCCTCCCCCAGACTCATCTTTGTCCGATTCTTTATTCTTTTATTCCAAGGGAGCCCACTCGTGTTTTCACTGGGCCACTGGAACTCAACAGCATGGACGTCCGGGTTGGGGGGTACCCAGGTCTCCCCTCCCCCACCTCACCAGGGGACCCCAGGCCCTGCCGGACCCAGGTGTGGTCAGGAAATGCTGTCCTCAGTGCTAGGACTCCCTGCCCTCCTCAGAGCCCCTCCCTGGTACCCCAGTCTCTTGTTGCTGTCCCTCTAAGGGCAGCTCCCCATGGCCCCATGCCCTCCCCTCCAGCCCAGGTGGTCGCACAGCTTTTGCCTGTGTCAGGTTCGTTCTTTCTGCCTTCCTGCCTTCGGAAGGATGTGCCTTAATCGCATCCTTTTGAGCATGTTTGATGATCAGGCAGGGCTGGACTGGGGCTGCAGCAGGGAGCCCGCCCAGTTACCCGCCCTCAGGGGTCTTGCAGGAGGTGAGTGGGGCAACTGCTACCCATAAGGGGGGTGGGAAGGGCTGCTCCTGCCCCAGTGTGACTGCTGCCCACTGCCTTCGGGGGCCTCCACCTCCTCTCTGCGCCACAGCCCAGCAAGCCCCTCCCCTGTGGTGGCCTTCCCATAATGGCAGCTGGGAGAGAAAATGCTGGCCCCCAGAGAGTGTGCAGCCAGGTGTGGCCATTTCCCCTGTGTCCACACAGTGGCCCATGCAGGAGGACTGTCCTCATTCCCTGCTTTCCCTGGTCCATGCTCCAGGGATGCCCCAGACGGGCCCTGCCCTCTGACCCCTGCCTGTCCAGGCTCAGCGTCCTCTGCTCCCGTTGTCCCCTGATGCTCCAGCCCTTTCTGCCACCCAGCCTGTGTGTGTGTGTGTTTGGGAGGGCTATTTTGGGGATGGGCTTAGAGGGCACAGGATGGAAGAAGTTTGGACTCGTTCATCATGTACATTTTTTCACCTGCCATTCACACTGTGATTTATTGGAATGAATTCGGCACTGTGAAATCTGCAAAGTCAAAAATCAAAAAGAAAAATCAAGGCCGGGTGCAGTGGCTCACACTTGTAATCCCAGCACTTTGGGAGGCCAAGGCATGTGGATCATCTGAGATCAGGAGTTCGAGACCAACCTGACCAACATGATGAAACCCTGTCTCTACTAAAAATACAAATAAATTAGCTGGGCATGGCGCATGCCTGTAATCTCAGTTACTCAGGAGGCTGAGGCAGGAACTAGGGAGTTGGAGGCTGCAGTGAGCTGAGATTGTGCCACTGCACTCCAGCTTGGCGACAGAGCAAGACTCCATCTCAAAAGAAAAGAAGAGAAGAGAAAAGAAATCAAAACAACAGTGGCATTGGAGGCATGTGCAATAAAGGAGTCCAGGTGGAGGCTGGAGGTCAGAGGCCGGAAGGAACACACAGATGTCACAGGATGTGCCTGAGGTGTCTGTAGAGACTTTTCTGAGCCTATGGCTGACCGTGGGGTGTCTGGGCAGCCATGGCCGAGAGGGCCAAGCTTGGAGCCACACAGCTTTCCGTGCCCACGAGCAGGGACTGGCCCTCCTCAGGGCTGACCCAGCAGGGTCCAGCACCGCAGGGTCTGGTGGGCGTTCTTTTGTGTGGCGAGATGATAGATCACAGGAAAGGAAGACACAAGACACAGAGATAAGGGAAGAATTCAGCTGGGCCCCGGGGCCCACCGCTACCAAGGCGGAGTCCAGCAGTGGCCGAATGCCTGGGCGCGCTGATACTTACTGTTTACAGGGCCAGGGGCAGGGGCAGGAGAGTGACTCATCTGACGTGATGGATAGGGTCAAGCACATCACGTGCTTACAGGACAGGGGCCCCCTCCTTTCAGGTAGCCGCTGCAAGGGAGAGAGGCACATATGTCAGCATCTTGCTACACACTCATCGGAAAGATCAAAGGCTTCCCCTACTCTTCTCACAACTTCTAAGAATGTAAAAGGAGCTCCAGGTGGGAAAGCGGAACGTGAAAGTGGACAAGGATGGTGACTGTCGGAGCACAGCGCCACGGAGAGGCATTTAAGCCCCTGGATGTCTGCGGGCCGGCCTGGCTGATGTCAGGCCTTCCTCAAGAGCCGGGCAGAGCAGAGTGTTCTCTGAACTCCCCCAGTGAAAGGGAAACTCCCCTTCACGGCCTGCTAAGTATCGGGTGCCTTCCCAGGGGCTGGTGCTACCGCAGGGCTCCCACTCTTACCTCCTGATCACTTCTCACCACAGTGTCCCTTTGCTTCCTCATTATATTTCACCAATGATGTCCATACTGTAAGGCTAAAATGATTCTATGCTATAATACTAAAGCAAAGATTAATCAAGATAACGATTTAATAAGATTGATTATATAGTTGATGACGTGATTGTTTCTAAATCTATTTGGTGTCACTGCTATAACTGAGTAATCAGTTGTTTATGATACTGGGACAGATTGTGCCTTCAGTCTCTGGCCTTGGCACCTGGGCAACTTTCTTCCCACATGACCCAGTTCCTCAGTACTGTGTCCAGCAGTGTTCCCGGCCTCATTTCTTCTCTCCGTCAGGAATTAACTCCCAGACACAGCAGCCCCTGCAGGTGGTGGGGAGTGGCGGGGACGGGAAAGGGTCAGTCAGCCTGTGGTCAGCAGGGCAGGCGGGTGCAGGCCTGGTGTTCCCAGGACCCTTGGCTGCGCCATGCAGTTACCGCATCACGGATCACTCCAGCTCTCGGGCTGGCATGGCCCGTTGCTGTTCCTGGGGGCACCCCGGGACTGAGCACAGTTCTCAGACAGACTTCAAAACAGCCCAGAGTGAAGACTTGTGTCTGAGGGCAGGGGCCGGCTCTGGGGTCCTGGCTCCACAGTTCCCTGATTGGTCCCGCAGTCGCTTAGGAGAGGCAGGGCCTCTGCCTTGTCAAGAGCTTGCTTGTTCCTGGCGGTCTCTGTCGGGACCCCCGGCCCCAGACTCCAGCACCTGCCCAGGTGAGTGAGTCAGTGCACATCCGGCAGCAGAGACGCCTGGAGGAGCACAGCCCACGGGTCCCTTGTGACATCTGCCGAGTGTTACTCTAAAACATTCTTCATTTCTGGCCTGACTTCAATTCTAGGAGGTGGGTACCATGAATAGTCCAATTCTAAAAATAATAAAATGGAACAGAGACCCGAGGCGCTGGCTTCATGATGGGGACCAATGTCCCAATTTTAGCGACAAAGTCCTGTGACCTGGGAAGCCCTCGGCGCTAGGCAAAGCAGGATGGTTGGTGCCCTGATTCAGGATCACCCAGGTAACAGGTAGAGGGCTGAATTCAAGCCTGGCTCAGCTGCACGGAGCCTCGGCCTGCACTCCGCATTGCCTCTGAGCACTGCCCGGGGAGTCCAGGCCATAAAACCCAGCTGGAGACCAGCAGCCACGTTTGTATGTTCTAGAAGAGAAAAGAACAGAATCAAATCAGATAACAAACATCAAAGTACATTATGCACAATTAGGACACATTTTAATGAAGAATGTAATTTAAACAAAAGAGTGAGATATTTATGCATATGTCTTATGTATTTTTGCTTGTGTATATGTATGTGTATACATAACGATTTAGATATACAAATGTGTATGTTGTGAATGTTTTATATTTTATATTGTTTTATATTTCGTATTTTATATTTATGTTTTATGTGTTACAAGTGTTACGTTTAGCGGTTATAAATCTATGTGAATATGCTATATAAACGTCATCTGTTTCAGTGTTTTGGGTGTGCATATATTTATTTAACTATTTTAACTGCAGATTGCAATCAGGAAAATATGAAAGCTTCCTGTTTAGATGAGGTGGGCGACCTTCCTCCCTTCCTGCTCTGATGGCATCCACCGTCACAGAGCTGGGTGCCAGGAAGCCTCTGGGTGGGTGTGTCTCCAACCCCAATGCAGGCACGGGTGGAAACACACTGTGGGATTTTTCCAGCGATGAGGATTGTGGTGTGACGTCCCGAGGCCTCCCCAGGTGGCATCCTGAAGCATGTCCCACAATCTCCATCCCTGTGCTCTTGCTGTGGAATGCCAGGCTGAATGTTTAACACTCAAGATCACTGTGCTCCTGCTACACTTCGACCTCTGACCCTTCTTCCTTTTCACCTTGGCTGTTGGGAAGCTCAGATCCTAGCCATTTGCCCCCAGGCACACATGAAAGGGCCTGGCAGCTTTCCTGCTCGGCCCTCCTGGCTCTGCCCAGGTCACATCTTGCTGGCCTTTCTCCTCCCCTTGCCATGTGGGACCCTGGTTTGCGTGATTCGTAGGGCCATGGAGCTCTAGCCCTTTTGATTGTATGTAGTTTTGGTGACTGGGCTTCTTTCCTGCTCCAGTTCCTGGCCCTGCCTTGGGGGCTCCATGACAGCTCTCCCTGGGAACACGTCCTTGCCTTGCTGTGTCAATCTGGGGACAGCTGTCCTTGCCTTGCTGTGTCAATCTGGGGACAGCTGTCTGGGCGTCCCCAGCGAGACCCCTCTCTGCTGCTGACAAGGCTCCCGGAAGGAATGACAGCGGCACCCCCGAGAGCCGTGAGGGCCCAGGGGCTGGGCGGGCAGTGGAGACCTCACGCCCCGGCCCTCACTCCCCTTGCCTGCGCGGAGCATCCGGCGCCCTCCCGAAGGTGGACAGGTGTGTGGGACTGCACTCTGTGTGACTTTGGGTTGAGTGACGCCTCCCCCAGGCACACCAGCCTTCCTGTTCACTCTGCAAAATCAGTCCGGCACGCACGCAC